ATATATATATTTTAGTTGTAGTTGGACCCAATACCTCTATTTGTATGTGGTGCTGAGGATTGAACCCAAGGCTTTGTGCTTGCTGGGCGAGCACACTACCACTGAGCCACAACGCCAGCCCTAATTATATTTTTTAATGAAGAAGAGACCATAGGATAAAAGTTTTTTTTTTTTTTCAGTATTACACTCTAAGCTTTTGTGAATATTATGCTTATGGAAATCAGTAAGCAAACTAGAGCGAGTCATAATATAACAACATATTCAGTCTTAGTTTTTGAATCCTCTAACTTGCACTGTTTAATATGGTAAGCCATATTCTACTTATTATTACTTATCTACTTATGTTACTCTACCCTTATTCTACTATTTGAATAATTAAGAAAAATTTAAATTTAGTTCCTCAGTTGTACAACCAACATTTTAAGTGCTCAGTAGCCACATGTTATCATATTAGACAATGCAGATATATAGAACATTTCACCACAGAAAGTTCTATTGCACAACCCTGTTAGGTCCTATAGAAGATGTGTCAGTGGGCTTAGATTTAGAGCATAATCAGGACATATCAGTGTACATTGATCCCAAAATAATGAACAGATACCTTAGCTGTGCTGAAAGGCTTAAAAAAACACCATTTGGATAAAAAATTTTACTTGCTTGTGATTAAAAAAAATAATCATCAATCATCCATAAATTGAAGTTGCATCATTACTACTAATACTTTTAATTTATTTATGGGATCAAACATCCTGTGTTAATTTAAATTTTTATCTATAGTATAATTTATTTCATGTGTAAACATTCTTGTTTGCAGTTTAGGTCCATGTTGTTTTTAATCCATAAATCTACAAAACATCAAATTTATAGTAATTATAAAACATATCTTAATCTGCCTTTAAAGAGACCATTGTTTTACTGGATTTTATTTTTTTAGACACTTTTTTGTCTAAATCAGTCTACCTTTCTTCATGGAGGTATATAACTATTATCTCCTCATCTGACGTATATTTCCAGAAAATATTTACAAGGCTGAATTAATATTTTTAGAAACATAATACTTCTTAAATTCTTTTCAGAATACTATTCAAAAGGATGGGATTGTCTTAAAATCACAAGTTTTGCATAAAAATGTTTTAATCAGACTTTAGATCTTGAATACAAAATGTACTCCAGAAAGTTTCAGACTTAGTACAATTCAAAAATACAGTTCTTTATGCCATTACTCACTTTAAAAACAGGCTCAGAATTATTTGACTGGAGGGCAAGCCTGCCACCTATAGTAAGGGGTGTGTCTCATGGTCTCCACCCTTACCACTACACAGGTAAGTTGGAACATGTCAGGCATCTTAAAATATGCAGTGGAATATCCCAATAGACAATCCTTTTAAACAGACATCATTGCCTTTCAATTTAATAGCAAGTTTATATGTGGGTGGTATGTTAGAGAAGGATATACCTCAATATTGAATTAATTCAACTCAAGAATCTTCATGATAGAGTATATAGCACAATTATTTTTTTTATTTAAAGCAATTTGAAATACTGGTTATGCTTTTAACATTTCCAGTAGGATTTATTTTATGTTCTGTCTTATTTTGTGCTTTATTTTTATGAAGTATAAGATATTCCTAAAATAGACCTTTTATTCCCAGCACATTGTTGGTGTCATATATTTTAACAAGGTACCTTCATCTCTGCCCACAGGCCAGGTCAGTTTTACATTTTTGGGACTTTTGAGAGACTTCCTAACATTATCCTTCTACTTCCACAGTGTCTAGACAGGACCTTACTTAGGCCTTCTAAAAATGTGTATGAGTTTTATTCCTAAGGATCTCTAGTATCACAGAAAGGTAATATTCTGATAGTCAAACTAGATTTTTTTTAGCTTAAGGAAAAAATTTCTTAGCTCTTTTTGTTTTTGGTAAATTTAAAAAAATTTTACTTTGTGGTTAAAAAAAAAATCTCATCAGATTCCCTGAAGGTCTTCCTTTTATGTGCCCATTCGTTGTGTGGTTTAAAAAAAAAAAAAGTGTATCAAGTTCTCTTTATTTTCCCCCCATTTATTTAGCCCTAACCTGGCAGCAGTTGACCAGATAAATATGACTCTTATAAAAGAAGTGAAATAAAGCTCCTGAGCATCTTGGTACTAACACACTTGGACTGTCAATCTTTGAATGAGGCTACTCCTCTTATGAATATAAATGTTTTACCCCAAAGAAATGATAAATTTAAGATTTAGGGTATTTATCTCAGTTGTCATCTCTTTAAGGGATTTTTAAATAGTCCAATTGTTTACACATCAGTGAGGCAACTACAGCAATAGAAAGGATTTTAGAGGAGGCAATCTGGGTTGGATCTTTTCCTGAGTCAAATAATGAGGATTTATAGGTTGTCATCATTACTAGAGCTTAATATTGCTGATCTAATGACCTATAAATTATATCATTTAAAAAATACTTCCCTCCACTTGTAAATTCAGAACAATTTACAAAGAAGATTTACCTGTGCATAAGTTTGGGATAAAAATTGTCTTTTTGAGGTTGGTTTTTCAGACTACGCCTATTCTTAATTTGAGATGCATTAAAAAATATGACACATAATTTAGAGTTTTTATGTATTAATCAAATTTCTCACTTTTTTGGTATCCTATATTTAATCCATAGAAAGTATTTAATAATTTCCTGTTTTGAATGTATTAAGTCATTTTACAAATTTTTCTTAGGGAAAAGTAGTTCCAGCATTGAAATACTTAAATTGTTCATCATTCTGGTGGAAGTTTTTAATTCCAGAAAGAATTATGCTTTAAGTCACATTCATATTTGCAGATTATTGTATAATTAAAGTAACATTTTCAATAAGCAGAGATCTAACTTCACATAAATTGATTTTTAGATTAAATTAATTGACTCCTGTGTATACATTTAGCCATAAGTATTTATAACATATTCAACACTACTCGGTTTGTGTCCATAACAATTTTAAATTTTCAGGTATAATATTAAAATGATAAATTTTAAAAAATAGTTTCTATTTTAACTTCTGTAATGAATTATTTGAAAGGCTATATAAAAACACAGATTGTTTTCCACTTGTATCACAGATTGTGACCTTATTGAATTCATTTGATCACATTTAATTGTAGAACCTGATCATTTTTAAATCAAATTGTATGGAAATCTATTTAATTTCCTCATTAAATAGTAATGGACAAACCATAGTATTAAGTTATAACTACTTTATATAGCATATTACTTATATAAAATCTATCATATAGTATTTACTCCCTTGGTGGAGGCCTTGTGGGAATGAATCACTGAGGAAATGCAAGGTGTGGCTGAGTTCCAACATAGTCAAGGAAAATAGACATGGAAATACCAAGAAACTAAAGACTATTGAATTGTAAGATACCAAATAAAAAGACAGTAGAAGGTAGAGAAAACATAGGCATAAGTGTGATATGAGATAGTTAAGAAAAATTTTGCAGAGAAGTTATAATTTTACTCAGGCCTAAAAGGATGTATAAATTTGGTTAAGCTGAAGAGAAAGGCTTTGCACAAGGGGATTAGATGAACTGAGAATTTAGTGGGATGACTACATGGTAATAAGGAGGTAGATCTATTTGGCAATAAATGGTTCATATTGAAGAATAAAATTATATGTTTGAAAGCCAACTTGGAGCTTTTAAAAGAGACACTTTAATACTTACATTAAGATATTCATACATTGTCTTATATAACACTATAATATTTTTATATCAGGGAAATACTGTATTAAAATTAGACTTATGGAAGAATTAGTCTTGCAGTGGAATGTAAGGTAAAACATGAAAACTCAAGGAACGCTATTGGGATTTTGATTGGAATTGCATTAAATCTGTATAGTGCTTTTGGTAGTATGGCAATTCTAATAAAAATCCTAATGACATTCCTCATAGGATTAGAAAAAGAAGTCATGAAATTCATCTGGAAAAATAAGAGACCCAGAATAGCTAAAGCAATCCTTAGCAAGAAGAGTGAAGTAGATGGCATACCAGACCTTAAACTATGCTACAGAACAATAGTAACAAAAACAGTATGGTATTGGCACCAAAATAGACTGGTAGACCAATGGTACAGAATAGAGGATACAGAGACAAACCCACATAACTACAGTTATTTATATTAGACAAAGGTGCTATAAACATACATTGGAGAAAAAACAGCCTCTTCAACAAATGGTGCTGGGAAAACTGGAAATCTATATGCAACAAAATGAAATTAAAACCGTATCTTTCTACCATGCACAAAACTCAACTCAAAGTGGATTAAGGACCTAGGAATTAAACCAGAGACACTGTGCCTAAGAGAAGAAAAAATAGGTAGGCCCACATCTCCATCATGTCGGATTAGGCTCCAACTTTCTTGATAAGACTCCTGTAGCACAAAAATTAAAATTAATAATCAATAAATGGGTTGGATTCAAACCAAAAAGTTTCTTCTCAGCAAAAGAAACGATCAGTGGGCTGGGGACATGGCTCAAGCGGTAGCGTGCTTGCCTGGCATGCGTGGGGCCTGGGTTCGATCCTCAGCACCACATACAAACAAAGATGTTGTGTCCGCTGAAAACTGAAAAATAAAAAATAAAAATATTGAAATTCTCTCTCTCTCTCTCTCTCTCTCTCTCTCTCTT